GTAGCCATGAGCTTCAGACCTTGGGACTGAATTATGCAGCTGGAGTGTGCAGACGCCCTCTGCATCTTCCCTCATCTGACTCTGTGGTTGACAGTCGTAAGCCAATCTTGTAATTCCTTATACATTATATATCTTGTGTTAATATCTGTTCCTCTAAGTAAAACCCTTACCAATATAGCCATGATAGTTCAGACTGGAGGCCTCTCTAGCCCTGGCCCTGCCCTCTCTGTGGACTTCTGTATAGAAGGATGCTGAGAAGGATGAGTGGGCACAGTTTAGTTATGGACAGGCCTGGAAGGATGGTGTTGCAGGCAGCCAAGTTAGATAGAAATGTCATAGGCAGTCAGACAAGGCTAAGCCCTCAATAGAGATAACACAGAAGAGAAGCTACCTTACAAGTATAAGAGGGATGGATGCTCCCACTGTGCTCCTGACCTAAAGACCAAAGATCGAACAAATGCTGACTTCCCTACAGATTAGCATCCGGGATTGATCATCACCCTGAGGAAGCCCCGAAGAATCATTAATCCAACTGCTACCAGCTAGCTACTGGGCGAAGTCCTGTTTTATATTTGTGCCTGCTTGCTACGTGATTTGCTTCCCCATTTGGTCCTGGACTTAATCAATTTTACCTGAGTGCTTGTAATCTCATTGGTTGGTTGACCATAGTTTTGTCTCACCTCATGCCCACCTAAGCGAGTTCCCATGTTCTCCACCTAAGACCTGCCTCACCACTTGTTTTCCTCTATAAAAGTCCCCGGAAGAGACAGTTTCCCAGGGGACCACCTGCTTGGGGTCCCCCCTCCTGTCCCTCTCTCCAACAGGAGCTTTCTTTCCCCCAATAAATATATTCTGCTCATAACCTCTGTTTGTTTCTACAATTCATTCTTTGGTTTTAGAGACTGTGAACTCGTCCCAGGTAGCTTTCAGATCTGGAGATCATTTTCCCCCTATATCATTTGGAGATCCCTATATCAATGGGAACCCCAAGAAAGGAGGACTCACATATGGTAGTGAGCAGTCTTACTTAAAACTATTTTTATTCTGCCTCTCAGCAACATTTTTCACTGGATTCGGGTACAAGACTCGGAAGGGACCCAAACACACATAAACAAACAACAGAAAGTCAGAAACAAAATCAAGTTCCAATGTACTGGAATGGCGCTAGCATCCCCGTATGCTGAGAATTCGTGTCCCTCACTCAGGGTCTTCCTCCTGGGACAAGCGCTGGCTCGTGATAAAAATCTGGATGAAATGACAAGTGGAATCTGGCGTCCATCAACTTTTATTATTTTGCTAGGGTCCAGTATTTTAACAAATGCCTGAGATTTAAAATGTTCTAAGAATCACGTTTTGTATTTGAATAGCACTTAAAAGCGCCCCCAGGGTGTATCTTTTGTGACAAGTTTCATAACACGGTGAGGTAAGTAGGCAAACATTCTTATCTCCATTTTCCAGATGAAGAAGTTTGAGCACAGAGAGGCTAAGAAACTTGCCTAAAAGCAGTTTGCATAGCTAATGAAAAGAAACAAAGGTATTTTGACTCAGCCTCCTGTTCATTCAACTAGAATAAGCTGCCTTTTCTTTTGAATCTAAAAGCTTGTTACCACTGTGTTTCTCATACTGCTCCTTGATGTGACCTTTGCCATTTATATACATAAGTGTGTCACCTGTTATGTTAATTACCTGTTTGTCTTTGAGTCCATTTATTTTTAAGTAAGTTTATTTGAACAGAAACAATATAGCACACACATCTTGGCAAAGCCACAAAGGAAGGTAATAAATTAAGTACCATGAAACCAAAAATAGTATCATTGGGTTCTCTAGATACAAGAGGAGTCTGAGGGCTGCTTAATATTTAAAGGGTCACAGTGTCATAAAGGTGTTAAAGGTGCACCAGCCCCACACAAACTTTCTCCTTGCTGTAATCAGGATTGAAAAAGAATAGACAAAGCTTTCCATATGATTCCATATTGATTAATGCTGCTTCTGTGAACTAATTAGAAGTTATCTTGTACCACCAGCGGCACACATTCTGCAGCACACTGTGGTAGCATTCAGGCAGGCAGGATAATGGCATCAATGGCCAGCTCAGTCACACCTAAAGCACTTGCCTTTGAAAGAAAAGAAATATGGGGCAGTGGCACTTCCAGGTGGCAGCCAGGAAAACCAAAGATCTCACTTGAAATGAGGGGAGGGGTTGATTAGATATTAGGATAGCGGGGGTTGGGGAGAGTGTATTCTGTAAACACAGCCAGTTTATTCCCAAACTTGGCATTAAGAGGGCGCTCAGGAGCCTAGAGCCGACCAACAAGTACATGCTTAGGGTCTGCTTGAGTGAAGACTGGGGTTATGATCACACTGACCAATGTGGATGCAAGCAAAGAGGGTGGGGGTGGGGTGCCATTCGGAAAATAATCATCAAGAGAGGGTCAAGGAGTCTTCAGGTCTTTGATGACCTGGTTGGGAAGTTCTGGGAGTGCTGATGGGTAGGCAGTTACTAGAGATTGGAGCAAACCTACAACATGAAAAGGTGCAAGGAAAAAAAATCCATGAATTCAGCTGGACTAGACAACTTGAAACATGCTGCAAATGTCTGCGCTTGACGCTATAAACACACCTCTTCCTGGAGCCTCCTACTCCCCCCAGATCCAGAGCCCTGCCCCATGGAGAGTAGCGAGGCTTCTGGAGGTCATCTCTGGAGAAGAAGAGTGTGCACAAACAGCTTCACCCAGTGGACACAGGGAGAGGTCGTTTTCTTCTTTTTTGTATAAATCGGGGACATTGGCTGATGGTGCTGTGTGGCTTAGATTTCCTAAGTGGGGGACTTTTGTTGGTGCTGTTCATTTGCCAGGGACCTGCCTCTGGAGAGTCCTGAGGAAGTGATCTCACAGTCTAGAGTCAAGGATCCAGTCCTCACAGATGCCTTCGGGGTGTGTGGATGAGGGTCATCCTCCGTGCTTGCAGCCAACCGCAGGCTCCTCAGGCACTGTGTGGAACAGACAGACAGCATGAGAAAGAGACTGCGACGGAGCTGCCACAGTGGGCTTTCTGGGTGTGCTGATTCCTTATTTGATGGAGAACATTCTGGCTATGCAAGTGCTGAAACCGAATGGCAAGACCTGCATGCTTTGCATTCTGATGACTTCCATTTTATTTGGCTATATCTCTATCTCTTATCTATATCCATCTCTATATCATATCTATCTAATCTGTATCTAATCTATACCTGGATCATCTAATCTATATCTAATCTGTATCTCACTAAGCTACATCCCCATCCCACTTTACATTTTTTTTTTTTTTTGTGTGTTACCAAGGATCAAACTCAGGACCTTGCATTTGCCAGGCAGGTGCGTATGCCGCTGAGCTATCTCCCCGGCTCCCACTTTAAAATTTTAATTTTGAGACAGGATCTCACTAAGTCACTAAATGACCCAAACTGGGCTGGAACGTTCCATCTTCCTGCCTCAGGCCCCCCGATTCCCTGCATGGGAGCTAGGATTACAGGCATGCGTGGCTTAGAAAACATGTTTTATTTTACATGTGATACATGTAAAACACCAAGTGATACAGATGTAAAAAAGTGCTTTGAGCAGTTCTCAAACTGCTTTTTAGAAATTTGGTGTGCATCCTCCAGGTATTTACCTCTGCACTGAGAAATTAGGGGGGCTGGGGATATAGCTCTACAGCACAAGCATGTGCCTGGCAAGCACAAGGTCTTGATTCGATAGCCAGTACACTTCCCCCCCAAAAAGAAATTATGTACTTGTTGGGTGTGGTTACTAAATTACATCATGCTATATACAGTTGTGAGTTCTAAGAACTTAAGAATATTCAAATCAAAGGATGTTTGAATCCCTTTTATGAAACAGCATGGTATTTATACACAACACATGCACATCTTCCTGCATACTTGAGATCGTCTCTATTTAATAGCTAATACAGTGTAAGCCCAGTAAATTTTTTTCCTTTTGTAGTTTGGCTGAATCTACAAATGCATAACTTGTGGATATTGGGTTGGGGGGATAGCTCAACGTCATTAGCACCTGCCTGGCAAGCACAAGGTCCTGAGTTTGATCCCTGGTACCAACACAAAACAAAACAATAAAACATAACAAAACACAAAAACTTGTGGATGTAGAGGGCCAACTGTATATTGTTCTGTAATGTCCTTTTTCTTCTTTTTATTTATCCATTCATTTATTTAGTAAATACTTACCAGCTGGACACTGCTATGGGTGGCGAGGACAGTGATCGCAGCAGTTACCTAGTGAATAGAGTGCATCACTATGCTTCATGCAATTTAATCCTCCCAGCGCTAGAAGGTAGGTACTGTTTAGACATCCATTTTATGCAAAAGAAAACTGAGACAAATATCAGTTAAAAGACATGCCCAAGGATACACAGCTACTTAGACGCAGAACCTGGGTGGAAACTCCAGCAGCCTAGCTTCAAAGTAGGCATCCCTCAGTGCTAGGCTGCATTATCACGGACAGTGACAGGAATGAAAATGTGCCTGGGGTTCTCATTCTAGTCCAGGGAAGTAGGTCATCAATACATAATTTATCGGGAAGTGGTAAATGCTAGGCTGATTGAATACAGGGACAGCCTCTCTGCTAAAGTAATATGTGAACAAGCACTTAGGGGAGAGATGGGAGTAGGCTGTATAGACATTAGGATGAAGACAGAGGGAGTAGCATTTGCAAAGGCCCTGAGGCAAATAAAACCTACTACAGAAACATCCAACATGGCAGAGGTGAAGAATGAGGAGAGCTCTGGGAGATGATGGGGAGGCAACAACTAGAACAGTCGGGTGTTGTAACTTTATAGTAAGAAGGATGTTTTATGTTTAAGCTGCAGGATATCACCCAACTTTATGAATAAACCACTGCTTCTTTGTTCTGCCTACTGATGGACATTTAGATGTTTTCAAGGCTTACCCTATGCCCAACAAAACAAAACAAAACAACACAAAACAAAACAAAAAACAAAACACAAAAGCTTCCACAAGAATCCTTGCATATCTGTGGCTTTGAGCTTTAAAACACCCCAAAAGCCTGGCCCATCACTGGGCCTGGTCATTTTAATTTAATTGGTCTGGAGTGAACTCTGGGCATTGATTTATTTTAAAGCTCCCTAAGTGGTTTTAATGTGTAGCTGGGGTGGAGAATAACAGTTTAATGTGCATTTTTGTACACCTATATCTAGAGACGGATTCTGAGAAGTGGGATGGACAAGGTGGCAGGCACATGGATTTTAAAATTTAATAAATAGGGCTGGCCTTTGGTAAACAAGAAATTGGCTCATGGTCCTTCCATGGATACTAAATTCACAAAAATCTCATTTTATATAAAATGGCCTAGGGTTTGCATCTAACTGACACATAACCTCTTGTATACTTCTGGTCATCTCTAGATTCCTTGCTGTACCTGTATAATGCCAGTACTGTTTCCATAGTTGTTGTGGTGTGTTGGTTAGAGGGTAAAGTCAAGAAAATGGTCCGTACAAATTCAACCCAGATATAGTTTGTTCTTTTACATATTTTCCATCTGAGGTTGGCTGAATTCATGGATGTGGAACCCACAGATACAGGGGGCTGATGGGACATCCCAATTGGCTTCCCCAAAGACTGTCCCACCAATAGTATAGTACTCAAGTTATCCACACTCTGCCAACTTTATTTTTTTTTTTGGTGATACCGGGGATTGAACTCAGGACCTTGTGCTTGCCAGGCAAGTGCTTATTCTACTGAGCTATCTCCCCAGCCCTGTCAACTTTGATATTATCCATCTCTTTAACTGTTTCAGTCTGGCAAACCAAACAACACAGTATTTCACTGTAGCTCTCATTTGCGCTTCCCAGTGAGTTTGCTTTTGCATTTATTCTGCTTTCTTCAAAATAACCCATTTGCTTATGCAATTTTCACAGTAAAAATATTTCTATTGTTGCTGGAAATTCAAGTTTGACTTTTTCTCCTCCTTAACTTATCCAAGACAACAAAGAAAAGCTCTTCTGACCTTCTGGAAATAGGTACTCTCCCCATTTTTCATGATGAAATCTCTCTCTCTCTCTCTCTCTCTCTCTCTCTCTCACACACACACACACACACACACAATTTTCCAAAGACACAGCTACACAAAAACAATTCCCAGGAAGCTTACCCTTGCCAGGAATAGAGGAGAGAAGATGGATTTGCTTTTGCTTTTGCCAAAAAATGCCAAGTACTTTCTTCAAGCTTACTACCATATATTATATGCTTCCTTCTGATCCTGATACAATTGCAGGATATTTTGGGGCCAGGAAAGAATTCATATCAATTTGTTTCTAAGACAGTCTTTCTCTGTATGGAAAGGGTTAATACCTGCTCAGTCAGGGCCTCCTTTTAATGGAACACAGTGCTGGGGCTCTTAAACCTGTTCAGAGATCAAGTTATTCCCTAATAGAAACCTTGAAGCACACAGGCTCTCATGTATGTATGTATGTATGTATGTATGTATGTATGTATGTATTTGGTACAGGGTCTCACTACACAGCTCAGACTCGCAGTGATCCTTCTGTTTTCAGCCTCCCCAGGGCTGGGATTACAGGCATGCGCCACCACGCCCGGTCTCAGTGGCCAGCTCAGCGTGTCTGAAGGCGGGGCCAGTACGGCATGTGGTGCTGGGGATTGAGCCCCAGTCCCTGTGCTTGCCTAAGCAGGTGCTTAGTCCACTAAGCTACCTCACCGGCCCCACATAGGCTTTTATGAGAGACCAGCAAGCACTTGTAATACATAGCTGGGTGTGGACATGGACATGGCTGGTTCCATAGCTTTGAGCTCACCTGGAGATTTAAGTTAGTAGATCACATTGTCTGTATACATTTAACTTATGTTCCTTGAAAAGAAAAAATAAACCAACCATTCTAATGGAGCTGGAGGATCTCGCTGCAGCTCCACTCAGCAGTCACGTACACGGGTGAGAACATTTCTGTTCCTTCTACGTGAGTGTGGAGCACGGTGTCAGTGTTTGCAGAGACATCAAGAGCTCCAAGCACAGCCAACCACTTTGTCAGGTGCCCGCCCGAGGGATCACCACATTTTCTATCACTGGAAATCCTTACTGGTTGTGTTGGGCTGACCAAGACCCACGTGTGAGTCTGAATAGGGTGCCCTTCTACGGACTCACTCAAGATTAAGTTTGGTTATTCTCAAAGTTCACCTTATGCTCTGACATAGGAACCTCACTCCCAAGTAAAATGAAGTTCCACTGTCCTGCTAGGATCACCTAAGGCAGAGACAGCTTGGCTCCTTTGTACCCATGCTTTTTCATGCTCAACTGATTTTTCTGCTAAGGAAGTTCCACTGAATTCTGTGGAACAATCGATAAATGCTTATGACCCTGATCAGACTTGGGAGGTACAGAAACTTTTCAGGGAAGTGGCCATAATGGAACTGCTACTTGGTATCTTAATTTTTTTTTTTTTTTTTTTTTTTTTTTTTTTTTTTTTTTTTTTTTTTTTTTTTTGCGGAACCAGAGATTGGACTCAGGCCCTTGCACTTGCCAGGCAAGCACTTATTCAACGGAGTATCTCCCTGGCCCCTGGTATCTATCTATCCCTGGCCCCTGGTTGTAATGCTGAGATTCAATAAGATAAAGATATTTAGGGACTGGTGAGATAGCTCAGTGGTCCAAAGTGCCTGCTTAGGCAAGCTTAGCAAAGTGCGGGGACCACGGTTCGATCCCCTGCACCACATGCCGTGCCAGTCCTGCTCCTAGGGTGGGCTGCTCAGGCCAGAGTCTGGGTGTGGTGGTGCACGCCTGCAATCCCAGTGCTGGGGAGGCTGAAAGCAGGAGATTGCTATGAGTCCAAGCTGCATGGTGAAGCCTTGTAACAACCAAATACGTTAAAAAAAAGTCTTTGTGCCTGTTTCTTTGTTTCTTTTCCTTTTATTTCGGGTACCAGAGATCAAACTTAGGACCTTGTACTTGCCAGGCAGGCGCTCAT